AGGCCATTTCTGACTTTTCATCCACTCGTTGCTTGAACATTCTTTCCTTTGCCAGTCTTCGACAGTTGTATGTGCAAACCGTGAGGGAAGCCTGAGTCCATTTACCAGAGGAAGGCATTTCACCTGGGATTATTAGTAGCATCTCTCAGACGAATGCTTTCGCCGTGGAATGAGTCGATAGACGAGCAGACGACTGAGACCCATTTATTCATGTTGTCATAGCGCATGAAATATTGTCACCCGCTGGCATGACTGACGGTGGACTGGAAATTTCATTCCGACGGGTTCCTAAATTCCGTCCGGTTTTCATCGAGGTTGTCTTAACCTTTGACGAGCCGTCTTCTAAGCACAAGGCTATGGTAACACTGGCGGCCTCTTTTCTTCTAAAGGGCGGTCGCTTGCCCTCGACGTGAGACTGACATTGGACACTGTGAGTTTTCTTCTTGGGATCAAACCTGTCAGAACATTTTTATCTTTTGCCAATAAATGTTCTAATCAGAAGTATTACCAGTGTTACTGTTAGAAAATGTGATCTGAATGTCAAGCGAATGACTCTCTTCGTCACATGATGAGTAGAAGAAGGGACAGACCAAGAACCAAGTGGTTTAGTTCAGTGTAAAACAACTAACATTGTAACGCGTTTAAAGTCAGCCCCATGAGCTTCTATAATTAGCAGAAGATTGGGAGCAGGTGGAAAGGCTTTTTGATGTAAGTTTCCCAATGATCAGAAAATAAATGCAAGCGGCGAGGGTAAATGGGTGCGTAGGAAGAAATAATATTCAAAATAATTTATTGTTGTAAGCCTCCATTCACATTGGAATAAGTGGGACATCAATGTTCAAGCCCTTAGATATCTGCGACTTCGCTGGATTTTGTAGGTTTTCACATTTCAAATTAGGCAAAACTCGCTTTTTAAGACTTCGGTTTCCTGATATCATTCATCAAGCAAGTTTGGATCTTCCCTTCATCTTGCCCATGTCTCATCGTCTTCGATTCAGAGCAGATGACATAGTAAACCAGGTGCAGCCATGCTGTCGTTGATAATTAATATGGACGATGGCTCCCAATCTTTCTCATTTTTTTGGCATGTCTGCCAGACAGATCTGCCTGAAGGTTGTTCATACATCTAGTAACTCTTTACGATCATTCCCTCATTTGTCAGCGGTGTCAGAACTCGCGGGACGTTCTCATGCCTGAGGAAAATACCGTCCACTGTATTGCGCTGTGGTTCTGATCTCTTACTTTGACCACGGTCCGCTCTGCACTATGAGGGTGCTGAGGAGTGTTCAGTGGAGAATAGATGGATTAATGATCGTTCCTAAAATAATCAACGTTATATTCATCAGCAATAAGAAATTGCGAATTTTCAAATCTACAGAATTTATCGTTTATGGATTAGCAGCTGACAGTCGTCACAGTTGTTGCACATTCTCCCTCTATGCAGAATTTTTGGCTTTCATCCGCTGAGGTCAAAAGACGGAACTAAGCAACAGTGGCATTCGCGTAAATTGCCCAGCTCTTATTCATCGACTGGTGGTCGTCGACGACGTTATGAATGAAAAAGCGGTTTCACAGTTTATAGCATAATTGCAAAATTCACGGTTTTGCTACCGGAGCAGCGGTTATGATCGCCAAACTATGATTCATTGCTTTGGTACGAATAGAATCTCAACTCGTGCAATGTCAGCAACGCCACCGGCCATCCGACCCGAGATGACAAGCCGACCGACCTGATCCCCAGGGGTCGGATGACGGAGCGGCCAACTCATGGATGCGTGTGTATGTGTGGGTGTGTGGGAGTCTGTCTGTCTGTCCGTCCGTCTGTCTGTCTATCTTTGTGAGTGTGTGACGTTAGACAGTTGTGTCCGGTGGCACCAATATCAGCATCAATGCGAGCTTTTCTTCACGTTTGTCCAGTGACTGCTTCCAATTTCACTCAGTCTTACACACGCAGTTTCCGGAAGCTGTAGCACACTCCGTTTCCAGAACTGATGTGCTTCATCAAAACCGGAATTAGTTCTTCGGGAAGCCTGGCTATAGCGAATAATGTGCATCGTGAAAGCAGCGGGTTGAGCTGTGAATTACGGTTTTAACGAGTCCGGCGCACCTTCACTCAGGCAAAAGTCGCGACCATTTCTTAGCTCTGAAGTCACGGAAGACAGACACTGTTTGAGTGGGAATGTTGCGAGGAAGAAGTGAGGTATATGACTAATGACTCAAACCATGAGAGCGGTAGTGTGAGTAATTTTGCATCCTCGGCGAAGGTCTCGAAGGTCATTCAGTGATTTCGCCTCATGCTCAACATATTCACAATTCTGTACATTCCTGAACGTTAGATGAGCTGAAATGATGTAAACTTTCTACAGAAAACAGCGTAACTCAGGCAAGTAAATGACCACTCTTTCACATAAGGACCCAACATACATAGTCTCAGATTATAACCTTCCACAAGATTGGCAGTCGTGTTCAGCATGCTGCCATTAAAGCGACACCATGTGTTCACAGTAACCCTGCCACTCAGACAAATTCATTTCCTGTGCAGTATTGTAAGCCAAGAAATTTGCTCTGTTTCAGACATCATTGAATGTGATAGGAGCAATTCTATGCAAATTGCGTTTATTCTTACGTGTTTACGAAAGAACAGCAGCTGTCGGACTGGTTTACGATACACACAAATAAGGTGTAGCAAACCTGTAAATTAAGAGCATGATTACGGTGAAAGTTTCGGATGCCTTAAATTCTGTTTACTTGTCAAAGTGCAACAATAAATTGAAATTTAATTTGTAGATACCATCTAGGTTGACGTTACAATGCATCAGTCGCGAACGATATCCCGCTATGGCGATGAAACTT